TGTCCAATTGATCCAACTTGAAGATTCTATTTGTACATGCTTAAAAGTTCGTTTCATTTCCTCAAGGCATTGATGTACCAAATCAATCTAAAAAATTATTTTAACTTGTTCTGAATGGCAGTAGATTCTCCAGGTAACCAGCAGAGTAACCAGCCCTGCTGGTTAAGATAATCTTGGTGAAGCTAAGGAATTTTCTGCACACACTTGTCACTTTCCAGTAACTACTAGTACCAAGCAATATTGAAATGCTATATTTAGACTCTTTGGAACCTACCAACATTGGAGGGCATAAAATAAGCTATTGGCTTTTTAAAAAAAAAAATAAAAAAAAATCTAAGCCCAATAAGGGACAAAAAATATGGATGTAGGTAATGAGCACAGGAGATAAGCAATCAAATTCCAGCAAAATCATGGATTGAATAGATGACCTTCATAGTTCATTTGTAGGTTAAATGCTGTAATTCAATCTTCTCCAATATTCAATCTTCTCCAATATTCATCTTCCAGATGTGTTATTCTATCAGAGCCCACACAAAAATTTTACCCAATAGTTTATCAGCAAAATTATTTTAACAATGGTTAAAATGCCATGGTTTAATCACAATGGATTGATTCACATGTCATAAAAGTTTATAAATCACAATGCCTGTGTTCAAAGCCTAAATCACAAACAATCTTCTGATTTATTGTATTGTATATATAGTCGCTTTGTATTTATTGAATTTCACGTTATTTCACTTACATATTCTAAATTAAGGAACTGAAAGAATACAGTTGCCTTGGGAATTACCCACAGCCAATCAGCAAGTCTGTATTTAAAATATATCAATTTATCTGCTGTACTAAAATTGGAAATATCTGTAGAATCTCTCTATGAAAGTATGTTTCCTAATTTCTGCCTTACAATTACATGAAAACTGTTGATTCTATAGTATTTTTGGCACCTATTTAATTGCTGAACTATTATATGGTAGTCCTCAACTTAGAACCACGAGTCCAAAACTTCTGCTACTAAGCGAAACAGCTGTTAAGTGAGTTTTGCCCTATTTTATGACCTTTCTTGTCACAGCTGTTAAGTGAATCACTGCAATTGTTAAGTTAGTAAAACAGTTGTTAAGTGAATCTGGCTTCTTCATTGACTTTGCTTGTCAGAAGGTCTCAAAAGATGATCACATAGCCCCAGGAAATTGCAACCATCATAAATATGAATTAGTTGTCAAGCATTTGAATGTTGATCACATGACCATAGGCAAGCTGTAACAGTCGTAAATGAGAAAAATGGTCATAAGTCGCTTTTTCAGTGCTGTTGTAACATCAAATGGTCACTAAATGAACTATTATAAGTCAAAGCACTACTTTCCACTTAACTGATTTATCAGAAATATTTTTGCTTTCTTCTCATTTGGGAAGGTCAGAGCAGCTTCCCAGCAATTTACCAGCCAGGTGTTGACTTGTCTGAACTCTCATTAGTTTCCAACAATGCAATTATAATCATATGTTCAAAGCTATCCTTAGTTCTAACTAGCAAAATACGGCTTGAAGCGTAATTGAAAGAGAGCAATGCCAAGGAATATTATTTTTCTTTTAAAATCTGACTGAAAACACATTTCAAATAACAGAAAATGCAAAAATGTTATGATTGGATGACAATTATTGGATTTCCTCCCCCCCCCCATGCATAGTGATTAGTTGTTCTTGAACAACTGATGATTGAAACCATTCTGAAGTGTTAACATACTATTTTAGGGCCAGGAGTGAATGAGTGAAATGAAGGGCATGCATGCCTACACCTTAATTTCATATTATAATGGTCACATTAATGACTGGATGCTATATTTAGAAGAGTTTAAATCCCAGTAAAATCCTGCACATCTCAGGTAGCCTTATTAATTATATAGGTACAGCAAACAGAAAGTAACAACTTTAAAGAGAAATCCACTTGAGAAAGCAGCTGTCAATATTAATGGATACAAGAATGCCACACAGTGCAGAGATCTGATGATATTCTCCTGTTTATTCTCCTGTGTGATATATTTCATCAGTATTTTCAAAATATTGCTTTCTGTGTTGTCCAAGAATGATTTGTTACTGTAGTCCAACCATTCTAGAAAGCGAAAAGGCTGGGAAGGCCGATATATATCACTTGCCAACCTTCTTTTTCCACTAACCCAATAACTTTCTACAAAAAAGAATAAATGGACATAGATTTGACACCCAAATAGCATAACGCTAAGGAACATAACCGTATTTCACTGAAAAAGCAAAAAAAAAAAAAAATTCCCAAGGAAATCCACAACAGAATTGAACTAGACTTTCTAGGTATGAAATTTGCACCTTTGTGGGCCTACAACATCCCCAATCACTGCCTTTTGCTTCAGAATAAGCAGGAATATCTATTTCAACCCTTAAATCTGTTTCATAAGAACAGGCTAATTTTTCCAGAAATGTTTAAGGAGCAAAATACATGCTCTCTGCAAGGCTTTAAAGAATCCATGTTACCTCTTAAATCCCCTCAACTCCTAAAGCCAAAGGGGCCCAAAATCAAGACACCATGAGCTAACAATCCCCTCACCTTGCCACACACATACCTCTTCACTCCTATGGTCAATTTGTTTTTAAAAAATGTGTTTTCTTTATCCATTCACCAATGTTATGTACAATATTTGGCGGTTGTATATGAGAGCTGCAGTAGTTCTTGAATTTTATGGTCTTTCTCTCTGTTTGCATGCAATACAAATATAACCTGCCAAAATAAAATTATTTTATTCACAAATTCTGTGTTTGTCACATTCCTTGAGTTTTTGGGTTACCTTTGTTGGCAATAGACCAAGAATGTCATCCCCTGCAATTATTAGAGGATAAATCTGGCCGTGCTCAGTACAGTTTGCTTTCGAATAAATGTGGAAAAATTTTGCAGAGTTACACAGTAACTCAGGAAGATGAGACCACAGGGCATAATCTCCTGTAGAGTGCATTATCACCCAGCCAGCTGTGTGGTTAAATGCTAGGGAAAGATTACATTTTTTTGATGAAGCTTGCAACAGATCTTCCTACAACTCTTGTTTCCCATTTTCTTAAACCTCTGCTCCCAATCAAGGAAATGAAAAGGCAGGAAACAGTATATTGCTTTATCTGAAAAGAATGTACAACTTTCTGAAACCACACCACTGTACTGCATATTTACCTCAGTCAATAAAACTCTTGTTTGCACCCTAGAAAAACAGGAAGCCAGAGAACGAGATTCTGGCTGTATGTTTGATAATGAACCCTCTTCTCATCTTCTTCAACAGAATGGCAGTTTAAAAAAAAAAAGAGATATGGAGCTGAATGCAGACCACATAGACGAGGAATAGGTGCTCTGAAACACAGTGTTTCTTCATCTTGGGAAGGTAAAGATTCACACTTTCAATGAGAATGTGTGCTCGTAGTAACACGGATTAAGGAATATCACAAGAAATTTAATATCCATAGTGTTCTAAGAATGCAAATAGTGGTATGCCATTTGCCTGTCATATTTTCAATTGCTAAGATTCTAACCAGCAAGCCACGTTGGTTTTGAATTCTGGGGGTTGTGGTCCAATACCTCTGGAGGGAACTGATTGTTTTTAACCAGTCTTCTCCAGCTTGGTGCTCTTCAGTCAAAGTGACCTGCAAGTGCAACGAGTCAACTTTATGATATCCAAATGCTGTTGAACAATTGTGTTTATCTTTCCTACCCTTTAAGTGGGATGGACTGTGGCTCTTTGGCAGTCAAACACTGGGTTGGAAAAGGTTATTCCAAATTCTTACTGCAAGCAGGATATCTAATTCCTGCTCTGTACTTTGAATGACTGGGTGATAAAGAGAACATTCAATAAACAATGCTGTTCTCAGCACATAAAACTTGGAAAAGTTAGTCCATTCAATTTCTGTTTCACAACTATATTTTAAAATCAAATGTGGTCACACTGATTCATGAACACATAACATTTCCCTCTCCAAAATTGTAATTGTGCTTCATTTACCACTCTTGCTTATAAACCACAAGGCAGCTTGCATAAGAAATCATCCCAGTTTTATTCTCATAATTAGCCTGTGAAGTTGGGTAACAGCCACTAGCCATTAGTCATCCAGAAAGTTTCACTGTGAATTGTAGTTCTGAACCAACATCTTCCCAATTCTAGGTTGCTTTAAACACCCAACAAAGATGATATTGAACAGTCATGCCAAAAATCTTTCCAAGCAGACAAAAATTCAACAGGTGCCAATACCTTCTCCCAGAAAAAGTAGCATAAATTGTTCCAACATTCCCACTGTTCGAAGGTAGAATAACATCATCCTGTTAATGAGTAACAGTTGTTAGCTTCAGAGACATGGCTACCATCTTATCCAATTCCTCTCATCTAAAATTACCTTCCTCGGGATGTAAGATCACATCCACACCATTGAGTTGTCCCTTAATGTTCTTGAACTCGACCATCCAGAGGAGAGTGTGTGACAGGAATCCAACTGAGAGACAAGAAAAGTCCCCTGGATATGCCCAGGATCCTAATCCAACTGTGGTTCCATCACACACACTATGATATCCTGCCAGATTCAGAAGGAAGCCTGTTAGTAGTTCTGTCATTCCAGAAACTTCCTAGCTCTGCCTCAAGAATCCTCTCTACCCAGCCCCATCCCAATAACTTTATTGTCACACTTGACAGAATCTTCCTGTTGTTACCCAACAAGAGAAAAGAAGTCTGCACATGCTCCAAAACACTTCACTTTTATTACATAAATCCACCGGCTGAGAGAAATGTTTCCCCTTTAACACCTCTGCTTTGAGGTGAAACCCTGGGCCATCAAACAAACCTGGTTAGTAGCCCCAGGCCCTCAGATGAGAAATGATTTTCCACTGTGGACAAACGCAAGCTTAAACAGCGAAAAATTCACTCTCGACAAGAAGACACTCTCGTTTGCTCAGGGTTCAAGAGCTCTTCTCCACCACCAGCATCTCCCAGGCACGCTTCTTTCCTTACCGAGACTCTGCTTCGGTTTCATGGCTCCGATGAATTGTACCCGGTCAGCCAAGCACTGCAAAAGTAAAAGCGCTCCAGCAGCCACTACCTTCGCTTTCCAAAGCCTCGCCATCGCGACTCACGGCAACTGCCCCTTTTCAGCCGCTTGCGCGCTCTTTGGTCTCTTGGGTGCGCCCGTTGGGTAACAGCGAAAAGACGACCTCCCCTTTCCACCTCGTTCCCCGCACTTCACTTCCTTTAAATCCCGACTGTAAAGTCACTTTTTCTGCCGATCCGGTTTCATTCAGACTAGGAGCAAGAGAGGCAAGCGCCTGCGTCTCCTTCGTCCACGACTGACTCTTTTCCTACTCGTGAAGCCAAAAAATGAGCTTAGTCCAGTAGCGCAATAACGGGGAATAATGTGTGTTTGCATACGCGTGGGGTGGATGTGTGCGTGTAGGAGGGTGTCAACAAGCAAAACCGAAATCGAGATTCCTGGTTGCTGAAGCCAAACTCCGCTTAGGAGAGTCCAGGAGGGAGAAATCAAGACCCAAAAAGCAGGAGCTTACCTCCAAGCTCCCCCACCCCCTTTCATGCTCGTCCAGAGCAGAAATCGACGGTAAGGAAGGAAGGCTCTGAAGAAGATCGCGCGGTGGTTGTTTTTTTTTTTTCCACCTTAGTCAAACGTAACTTAAGTTAAACGAGGGCTTGAGGGAAGCGTATTAGAAAACAAATCCACCCAGGAGGAGGCTTCCAAATTCTTCGAGCCTCGAATTCCTGCGGTGCGATCCAGGGGAGAACTCCAATGGGCAGATCTAACGAAACAAGCGCCCGTTCTCTTCCCGTTGACAATTGGTTGGGCTGGTCCAGAGGACGTAGATGGCCAAGGAGCTCCCGGAAGAAAGCGAATCCCGGTTCCTCAGTGGCTTTAAAGCGGTGGGTAGAATCCAGCGGCGACAAGACCTGGAAGAAGACGGATTGTACGACTGCCCGGCTCAGCCAGATAAAAACCGAGGGCAAGCGCTTCACCCGCACACGCAGAGAGGCAACTTGCAAGGAGCCATCCAGAGATGCCTTCTCGCTTCGCTAGGCAGTGGGAGAAGCAACCCCGCGCGATGGGGAAAGAGTTTAGCTGCCACGATCGCCGCACCTCCCACTCCCACCACCCAGCCCGCTTTCCTCACTTTAGAAAAGTCCCTTGTTTGGGGCAAAGCATAAAAGCAGCAGCCGCCACAACCGCCTTCTACTTCCACCTTCTGCCGGAAGCCGGTTGCCCCAACCGAGGCGCTTTTCCCGAAAGAAGGGAGAGAAAGAAAGAAGGGGGAGGGGAGTGGCAGATGAGTCTCTGGGCTTGCCACGACCTCCTCCTCCTTGCCAGGAGATGAGCAGCGCCTTCGTGCAAATTCGGTATTTTCTCCCCTCTCTTTTGTCCTCTGGCAGAGATTGATCAAATGCGTCTCCCCCTCCCACAGTCTCTCGCTACCAAAAGGAGAAAGAGGCTGGAGCTCCTGCTGTGCTTTAATCCGCGGCGGGCAAGGGAAGGGGGGTGTCGCCCTTAGGTACCGCTCGGCCTCCCCAAAACAAACACACGCGGCTGAGAAAAGCCTCCCACCGGCGCTGAGAAAGGAACCGCGTGCAGCAGGGCTGAAAAGCGCGCAGAATGGAAGGCACGAAAAAACAAATCATACTTAAAGCAAATTTATGCCGAATCGGGAGGAGAAAAGTATTTAGAGGAACTGCAGCGTCCACGGAAACCCGTTCCGACAAAAGTCTAGCTTAACGTGGGTCGTGCCTCTTAGGTCGCACCGCCATCTAAAGCATGAGAAAAAAATCAGAACCGGGCTCAGTTCATGCCGACTCTTTCCTCAGCAACGTCACTCCCGCTCGGCCCTCTTGAGGAATTCTCAGCCTTTTAACAGCTCAAGAACGGAAAATAGAGTAGGAGAATGGAGCAAGGACGAAGGGAGGCAATAAATCATGGCTGAATGAATGAATCGTATTCCCGCGCAGGGATTCAAGCGTTGCAGACAGCGCACGCTGCCGACGAAAGTCTGTTTCTCAAACTCGTTGCTTTAGCTGTGCACGCCCCCTTTCAAAGGTGGGAGCGTTACATGTAGGACTCATGATTGTTACCGATTTAGGCATCTGGTAAAAAATTATTTCAGATGCCCTGGCTGCGAAAGACAGAGTTTAGTTAAAGGAAAAGCATAGAGGAAGAGATCCTTCATCCACTTGTGAAGTGTTTTGGGGTCCGGTAGGGTTCTTTGAAATAATAATGGACATCCACTCAGACTTGGCTTGAAATTAAGCAATGAGTACCAGGCATCAAAGCTCAGTCTCCAGCATTTTAATATATTTCACAAGTAAAAAGTCGTATTTAAAGATTTTTTTTAAATGCTGTTTTTGCATTTTAAAAAGCTGCATAATAACTTCTGATGATTTCAGTAGATTCTTTTTCTTTTGCAGGTATTTAATGCAAAACTCGTTATTTTAGATACAGATTACTGTATTCACTCATATTTTTTTCTGGGTGAATGGCCACATGTTATTCATTTGCAACCCATCCATCTTTTTTCAAAATAATTTTGATATGGATGGTAATTTATCCAAATTTATCACAGATCAATATTCATTCACTTAGAACTTTGAGGTGATAGGCATCTTATAAACATGTTCATTTTGTTTTAATTCTCAGTTGTGCTAATTTAAACTCTTTAGTTTATTTTTTATAAAAAGGAAAATGTTTCTTAAATAGAAGAATGTTGTAACACCATAAAAATTTATTTTGAAAATAAAGAGGGGAACATTCCTAATAATGAGCAAACATATATTTCATTAGTAAAAATGGGCAATCATACATTCCACTAGTAATAATGGGCAATTACAAATTACAGTATGCTATTGCATGAGATAGTGTAATTGGAAGCTTTTTTAAAAAAAATATTGTTTGGATCACTAAGATACACTAAATGTATGAAGATAATTGTGTGATCTGCCATTTTTCATGCATTTTTAATGACGAGTGCTACCCCAAAATTGGAAAGGCTGGAAACTCTTATCTTCAGTTGGAAGCGTTAATAGCAATCTTGAGGTGATTTAACCATTGTTGAAAAGTGTGACCATATATGGTACATCATCTATAATGAAGTAAGAGCATCATTTATACTTCTGTGTACCGAACCTTAGTGGGTTTTTTTTGTGGATATCAGGTTGTTGGGTTTTTTGCATTTATATAACATCTAAATTCTTTTAGGAATGCTTCCATTAATGTCATCCCTTTTATCCTGCCATCCCAAGAATTGAGAATATTTTTCATTGCATCTTGTAAAAAATCTTATTAAGGAAGCAAGTTTGTTATAGATCATCATCTAGATTTTCAAGGCTTTGGAGCAAATTGCTAATTATTTTATTCATTCATTCATTCATTCATTCATTCATTCATTCATTTGATTTATATTACTGTCTATTCACATAAGTAACTCTTGGTAGCTCACAATATTAAAAATAATAAAGACATAAAAAATATAGAGCCAATAGCAGCAAGAAAATATAATTACAACGCCAGAGTCCAGCACTCAGCATAACAAAGCTATGGGCCCTGGTCCACAACCCAGCCCCAGGCTCAAGCACAGAGCCATGTCTTCAGGGTCTTATGAAAAACCAATAGGAAAGTGCCAATTTTGTGAATCCACAGGAAATATATAACCATATGATGATTTGTTATGCATTGCAATGGAAAGTTGTAGATTCTATAGGCTGTTCTACAGTAATTGTTAAAGAAAATGTCTACATCCATGTTGCACATCTGTATTTCCTGACAGTAATAAACCTTCAGATGCTTAAGAGGCCAGCACCACCACATATCTTTGTTATACAGTGTTGAATGTATTTCTTGAAATATGGTTTACAGTTGATGCCACTACTACAGCATTTCATTTACCTAATGCACTTTTAAAAATGTTATCCTTGGTCATTAAGAAGATTGTTCACTTTTTACATTAGAATTCTATATGCAAGATCATACTGCATAAGATATATCTGCTAAAGTACAAGTTACGTTTACTCTGAAGATAAGCATCAAATCAGATTTTAATCTAAGTAAGGTTCTTAATATATCCTAATAATTCTTCTTTCCCCTTTTACTCTTTCAGATTATAGTATTCTGAGACTTAGAAACAGAACTCTTTTGTCTCAGTCTGTATAGTGCTATTATGAATTTTTCTACCTCTACTGTGGCAGAAGATGATTTTTTTTCATGGTGTTGGATGTAATCCAGATGTTATGGACATTGATGCACAGACCAGCATTTTAAAAAAAGCATTAATTTCATACAAATGTGGATCTGCTTGTGATGTTTGGAGCACTTTGCAATAACAGCTAGAATAACAAACAAATAACATGTAACCATAAAAGTCTTAGATAGATATTCTATACCATGAAGAAGCCCTAGTTTAGTTCTGCCCTATAGATCAATAAGTATGCAGGTCACATAAGTTGTAGCTATGTTATCAGCCCCAGTTTAAATAGGCTCAGGCAAAACATGTTTGCATATGCAGCTGGGATAGGAATCCTGGGTAGAATTCTTAGCTGCATCAAAAGACTCTTACATATTATTTATCAGCTGAAACTGATCATGCCATACTTTCTTTTCAATAGCATCAACGAGTTTTTTGCTGTTGATCTTTTCTCCTTTAGAGTCAATAGTCCATTAAATGGGAGTGTTTGGGAAAACGTTGGGGAACTTTGGCATATAGAAACTTGAAAATCGGGGAATTCAACATGATGTAGTTTTGTATATTTCTTAAAATGAATAAAATATATTTCTAATAGCTTACATTCCGTTTAAAGGATGTTGATGTTCAGTTAATACTGTTCCTATACAAAGAATTCCATGGATCCACTTTACAGCTGTTTTCTAGGTTGGAAGGAGAAATTTTTAGTCTTTCAGATATTGCTATATGTAATTCCAGTCTGTGACGTTGATGCTGACTGAGTTTGATGTCAGTTGGAGTCCAAAAACATCTGAAAGATCAGAGATTGTCTATCCTGGTAGCTTTCCTTGCCATTCTAATCACATGCATTATATTACCTGAAACTATAGCTTGTTAATAATTCATAAAACCTTCAACAAAG